GCACAAACAACGGCCAGAACTCAGATAAATAATGGTGACTTGTTAACCTGAAGTTACTTGATTTTTTTTTACCTTTTTTGACATCCTCTGATTCTTTTTTTCCCCCCTATCTTTTACTTTAACTCTCAGCTTTTCCATTGCTTTTCATACCATTCTTGCAAACAAAAGGTATTAATCTGTAACCTGCCTGGATATTGAACACTGACATTAACACAGAATCACAGAACAATTACAGCTGGGAGTGACCTTAAAGATCATCTAGTTCTAATCCCTCTGCCACCAGCAGGAACATCTTCCACAGCTTGCTCTAAGCCCCATCCAACCTGGCCTTGAACACTGCCAGGAATGGGGCAGCCACGTGTTCTCTGGACAACCTGTGCCAGCACCTCAGCACCCTCACAGTGAAGAGTTTCTTCCTACTGTCTAATCTAAGCCTCTCCTCTGTCAGCTTAGGCCATTCCCCGTTGTCCTGTCCCTACAGGCCCTTGCATAAAGTCCCTCTCCAGACTTCTTTAGTCCCCCTTTAGGCACTAGAAGCTCCTGTAAGGTCTCCCCTGTGCCTTCCCTTCTCCAAGCTGAACAAGCCCAGCTCTCTCAGCCTGTTTCCACAGGAGAGGTGCTTCAGCCCTCTGATCATCTTCATGGCCTCCTCTGGACTTGCTCAAGCACATTCCTTCTTCAAAAATCCCTCCATGGAACTCTAAAGATCCTCGCAAAAAAATGAAACTACGAACCTGAAACCCCAACATGGAACAGCGTACAGCTCCACTAGTACAAGTATTCATGGCAGAAAGTGTAAACTTATTCTATAATCTTTGGGTTCTAAACCATGCCTTCTTATTATTATTACAAATAAGTTTTGAGTATAGAAAGCTAAAAATGTATACTTTACACAAAGGTGGAACAAGAGTATCTTTTAAGCCACCTGAAGACTGAAAACCTGCCCTTTGAAGTGCAAAAAATAATACTTCAAGGCTTGTATCAACTTTTGCTGTTTATCAAGTCTTTGTAACCCAAAATCTGATTCTGGATAATAACCTACTTTTTTCAAGCAAAACCACTACTCCTATTAAAAAAAAAAAAAAAAAAAAAAAAAAAAACAAAAAAAAAAAACCCAAAAAAACAAGGAAGCTACTGTTCAGCTACAGTAAATTATTTCTTGGAAACCTTGCATGTATTTTCTGATTTTCACAAACAGCATGTTAGACAATGTTGTACTGAAAGCTGCTTAAGAGACTTTTTCACACTGTGTTACCCCAGCTATGCTACTTCCAGTGAGGCACAAATAGCATGCCAATTTCAGCAGTAGAAACTGCAGCAAGCTAGGTAGAAACCCACAAGGCTGTACATACAAGACAGACAATAACTGTCATCTATTCTTAAAAATACATAGAATAGAAATATAGAACATTTGGGTTGGAAAGGACCTTAAGCCCATCTAGTTCCAATCCCCTTGCCATGGGCAGGAACACCTCACACTAGACCATGTCACCCAAGGCTCTGTCCAACCTGGCCTTGAACACTGCCAGGGATGGAGCATTCACAACTTCCGTGGGCAACACATTCCAGTGCCTCACCACCCTTACAGTAAAGAATTTCTTCCTTATATCCAAGCTAAAATTCCCCTCTTTAAGTTTTAACCCATTACCCCTTGTCCTATCACTCCAGTCCCTAATGAATAGTCCCCAGGGATGCTGCGGATGGATCAGAACACGGATCAGATGAACGTAAAAAGTGGGTTTACATATAGTTAAGTTTCAGTTTACTTACTGAGAGTTGATCCTCTATGTTAACAGCACCTACATGATTAAAGAACAGCCCACATAGTGTGCTGGAGTTCACATATAATCAAGAAAATCTGGCACCATTGGACATAGAGCCTGATGCAGCCACCTAGCCACTGCATCCTTACTCCCTCACCGAAAATTAACAGCTACATGTTCTAAGCCTAAAAAAGAAACTATTAGCAGCACCCTAGCTGACAACATATCACGAAGCATAAAAGTTTTGTATACAGCTATTTCCATAGAGAGCCACCCTTTATAAGACAGCCTCCAAGTCTGGCATCACTTCTGCTGTTACTTTTCCTCAAACTTTGTATCACTTCAGTTACTACATGTGTATTAATTCAGGAAGACAAGCATCACAGGTTGGCAGCTGAAATTTATTTAATCAACTTACTGAAAGCTTACAAAACACACATCATGTGTCTTAAGTTCCTGTCCAAGACAAGCAAGCAAAGACGTTTCTCATGACAGATTCAGCGCTCTTTATCTTCAGGCATGGATAAAGTTTACTTAAAAACTACTGTTGCTGATGCTGCATGCAGTAACAACAGAAATAATTATAAAGGTTTTGAGCCATTATGTTGAGTAAAAAAGGTAGTACTGAATTCCTTTTATCACTGTACTTTGTCATTGTTTGACAAACTACAGACTAACACAGAACGGACCAGCACTGTGTGGAAAATTTCATGCTCTACTAAACTGCCTGGTGTCCACAAATGCAGCCATTTCTGCTGCAGTGCAGTGAAGTAAAACCAACTCACTGGCATATTTTTTAACAATTCTCTCTTTAATTTACTGGATTTTCCCCATCTAATTCTCCACAGAATCACACAAGTGCAGGAACAAGAAAAGTAAGAATAAAACGGTAACAGCATTTCTTTCTGCAGCAGTGCCAGCTCAGGCAGCTTCCTGAACCCACTGACCTTGTACTTGTCAAAAAAAAAAAAAAAGACTTAGTACCCTTAAGGTCAAACTGGGATGACACATTCATGGTTCAATCCCTTGCTTAGAATTTCTTAACAGATATGTATGCATATCTGCAGAACACTGATCTGAAAATCAGTGTCAGAGAACTAGAAAACCTCTGGCTGAGTAAAAACTAAAAGAAAATGCATAAGTTTAGATGACTGCCATTTTTATCCTAATTGAAGGGCTAAGCTGTGCTCACTAGCCAAAAATTAAGTCATCCTGAAACAGCTGAAATTGACAGTTCCAGTTTTCAGAAAATTGTGGTTTTTTGCAAAGCTACTCAACCATTATGTACAATACATGTGGCACTGGTTATTTAATGCTATGACCACACATTAAGCTTAACCTCAGACAACTCACTGTTTGCTCAAGAATTTTCAAAACAATTGGCATTATAATTAGCATTATTTAAAAAGAATCCAAAAGACCCCATGTAAACCAGGGCATCTGCTTCAGCTCACTAGCAAACTGACAGCTTGGCAATCTAAATCACAGAACAGAAACCTCCGGGTTGTCAGGGACCGCTGGAGATCACCAGTCCCACCTCCTGCAGAGCATGGGGCTGTACATGAGAAGACACAGGACCCTGACAAGCCAGGTCTTCAAGGGAGCAACACTTCACTGTGCAACAGCAAAGAACATCTTTCCTGCATTTAAACAATTTTCCCTGAAGCAATTTGTTTCCGTAGCCCAGGACACCCACCACCATGGGCCCTTGTAAGCAGTGCACTCCTACCTTTTCTGTTGCTAGTTTTCTTGGTAATGGAAGGCTGTGATCAGGTCTTCCCTTCTTAATGCAGAACACTTCTTCAGCCTTTCTCTACGTGACAGCATGGCCAAGGTTAGCCCTTTGCGTTATGATTCTAGTATGAATGCATGTTATTGTTAACTGTAATACTTAAGAGCACAGCATGCATAGACCTCCTTGTGCTGTCATTTAAAATAACTGGCAAAGTACACTGAAATATCAGTTAATTCTTAATGACTTATCTCTCTGAAATAAAAATTTCAGACTTCCCTTCTGAATATAAAGGGTTATTCCACACAGTTCAGCATTATCCATAGTAGTTCTTACACGTTTTTACCAAGTGTTTGTACTCTCAAGTCAAATAAAGCTTGATTCAGCAGGAAGACTTGATCAACGGGTAGTAAGCATTCTTCACAGTGTGACTTGCAAAACATTAGAAAGTGAAAAGCATCTGGTGATTTTACTGGCTGAATGAGGTATCAAACCCTCTACATGTCTCCAAGTTTTTATCAAGTGCAGCTTGACAATGAAACTATTGATTCTCTTCTGCCCCAGATATACGTATTCTATGTAAAGACCACGAATTTTAAGTAAATGGATCCTGAAGCCATTACAACTGTCCCTCATTCCAAATGAAATACTTTTCTAGTACTTTAACTCTTCTACTAGCTAATGAAGATTTAAATTAATTCTACTACATTTAAAAAAAATAGTAAAAGAGTATGCATTCTGACTTCAATCAACAAAAGGCTTAAGTCACCAATTTTAAAATCGGCTTTCAAGAGTGAAGCACAGACTTTAAATACATTCAAAGGACAAAAATGTCTTTCCTCGTGGATAATGGGGAACTTAAGCGAGCACAAACGAAGCTCGTACATCCACTCGTATTTTGGGGAGCCGTGCGATGGTGGGCAGATCCTACAGGCAGCGCTTCCCCTCCGGCCACTGCGGCTCACAAGGCCGGCACGGCGTGCTCCTGCTGCTGCTTCCCGCTCCAGCTGCGGCAGCTCTCCAGGAAAGGTTTTCCGTCAGCGCAACCACCCGCCGGAGAAAATCGGTTGTAGGGGAAACAGGTGAAGCTGGCGAACGGCAAACGCCCCGCCCTCCCACCGTACTGCCCGACTGTCACGCCAGGTCCCCGGCCCCCACCCCTGTTCCCAGAGGCGCCGGATGCCGTCCCGCTACCTGCTGGTCTCGAGGGAGCAGTACCGCTCGGGCAGGATCTGCAGGCAGCGCTGGAAAAAGCGCACATGGCGCTCCCGGAGGAAGTCCAGCCGCTCCGCCTCTCCCGACCAAGGCGCCGCCGCCGCCATCTTCCCGCCACCCCTGCCCGGCGCGCTAGTGCTGCGTCACGCGCGGCGACACCCACCCCTTCCGCGGCTACGTCACAGCCCGCTGGAGACGCGGGGTTCGCGGGAACGTGAGCGGGTGGCGTCTGTCTGTGTGAGGCGTTTCACACCCGCGCACACAACACAAAGGCAGCATGTGTCATTGGGTCACTCAAGCTCTGTGACAGCTCCCAAGGGCTGCCGGCCGCTCCACTGCTGACGGTCACCCTCATCCTTCGACAGGCTCTTGTACAGCCTTTGTCTCCAGGCTGGGACAGCTCTAAAAACAAGGAAAAAAAAAAAAAAAGGCATAAAGAGGTCATTTATAATTATATTTCGTCATGCTACGCATCCATCGTCCCCTCCTTACCTGCGAGGAGTATGTAGAATTGGTTTTGAGACTGGTAGTGTGACCTCTTTTGTGCGCTCCTCCCAGCCCTTGGTAAGTCTGTATAGGTCTTTGTTAACGTGAACCTCAACCTCAGAGTGAAACAAACAAACAAACCGGTCTTTTCGTTGATCACAGAATGAGTTACTGATGCGCGGATTGACTCCACAACTCGTTAAAGTTGTAAAGTAGGTATGCTTTTTATTCAGCGCTGAGACCACAGGGATAATTCCTCAAAGTCATGCGTACCTCAGTGTTGTTTCCCTCTACATTTATAAGGTTGCACCATACGCCTGTACATACTCATGTCCTATTCCTGCTTCCTATTACAGTGAGCTAGAAGGTCCTTTGCGCCTGCGCAGTGCCCCCTCTGGTCATGGGCAGGGATCTCAAGATGAAGTAAATGAGCCTTCCTCCTGTGGGTAGGGGTCTTCAAGATGAAGTAAATGAGTCTTCCTCTTCTTGAACTTTTCACCTTTTAGTCTTCACGTATGGCCTTAGGGTTTGGTCCCAGCCATAAACCATCTGCTTCTCTCCCTTACCAGTAGATTCAGGCATCTGCTTTTCCTTATCAATAGCTGCTTATCAGTAGAATCAGGCATCTGCTTTTCTTTGTCAATAGAACCAAGTGTCTGCTTTTCCTTATCAATAGTGCCTTTGTTCTGCTTAGGAGGCACGATAGGTACAGACAATACCTTTGCTTAAGCAAGCGAATTCCTCTAACCCCCCTGTACAACCCCCCTGCACAACCCCCCTGTACATTGGTCAACCCTCTGCATCAATCCCCCCTTTTTCTATAAAGTGAGTAAATTCTTTTACTCTATTATTTATGACATAGCTATCCATGTTCCTTCTATCGGTTTATGAAGTGATTTCGATATACATTGCATTATGCAAGGTACACTCATTAAAATGAGTAGTCCTACAGCTAAGATTAGAAGGCCTTGTTTAAGTATTTCCCTGAACCATCCAGTAACTCCTAGGTTATTTAGCCATTCATCCAATCCGCCTCCAACAATTTTAACTCTTGCATATTTTCCTGCGATTTTTGCAGCTTATCATGCATTGATTCAGAATGGTCAGGTAAATTCACACAGCACATACCTTCAAAATCCTCACAACCACCCTGTAACAATATCTTTGTTACCTCCCTGGCTTGTGCGCTTCCAGCTGGAAAGGCTTCTGGCCAACCTGAAAAGGTGTCTGTTAGTACCAACAAATGTCTATACCCTTTTTTCTGTCCTTTTGAAAATTCTGTTGCAACATTTTATATACTGCTATTACCATTCAGAGTCTTTTTGAAATAGTTTCCTGGTTCTACTTGATATTTACATTTCATTTCTTTTTCAGTGTTCATAATTTATCATAGGTCATTTACAATTCCAGGAAGAAAATTTTGTTATACCACAAGTAATCAATATTAAAACAATTAATATTCCTGCATCCAGTTGCCTTAACCCGGAGAGATCAGGTAACCATGAAGGTAACTTCTTCAAACCCCAGGAGGTATCATCCTTGGCCATTTTATTAAATATTTTTGTTTGTTTCCAGATTTCCTCCAAATCTGTTTCAGGAACAGCAATTTTCTACTTCCTCTATGGTTGCTAAGATATTTATGATTGCGTTCTCTAATTCACTTATTCCCAAAGATGGAATTAGCCATCTCACAAAACTATGAAATGCAGTACTGTTCAGCAATAGGGTTAAACCCTCACTTAACCACTACCATCCTTTCCCTTCAGGAGCAGGCCACCGCTGAACCACAGTACCATTACAATGTGAATAGTGACCTACACCTGTGGCATTTAAACAAACATAGTCTCCTATTCTGGCTCCTGCTGTAATACATCTTTGTATACAAGTATAATACTTGGATTAGGATTAACTGTTCCAAATCTTAAAATTGTCCATGAGATAGTGTTGGAAATTGGGATGCCAATTAATGGAAGGCCCTGATCTTCTCCTGATTCAGGCAACTGTGCACACACCCAACAGTCACTACAATTAACAACTTCAGTAACATTCTGCATTAATTTCAGGTATAAGTATTAGTCCCAAGGTGGTATGTCAGTTACCACATAAATCCAAATTACGACTGATACAATTTCATATGTGAGGGTCCTGAAGATTCTATCCGCCATGTTTTCTCCGGTTCTGGTGCTTTCTTTATTCTTGAATAATATATCAAGCTCACTGCTGTAAAGGTGGTCAATATTATCTGGTACGGTCCGCTCCACTTCTCCTTCTTAGCCTAAACCCAGTCTCTGGATCTAAAAGGGTGAGTCTGATAATCCACGCCTCTCGCTCTTGTCCTCAGTATTTTCTTCTTTCTTCTAATTGCTTTTCCCAGATTGATCAGAAACTTTAGGAGATAACCTTCTCCCACTTCCAGAAGACTTTCCTTTAAACTGGGACTGATATTGTCTTCCATATAAAATTTTACATGGGATAGCCTCTTCTTTTGACCGAGGTTTAGTTCAAATTCTTAATAGAGCCAGTGGTAAGGCTTGGTCTTTTTCAACTTGCCCACTGGCCTGTATGGAACATATAGTTGCCAATGAATTTATAATTTTTCTTGTAACTATTTTGCACTAAAAGGTGAGCCTCGGTCGGAAAAAATTGCCTCTGGTACTCCAGAACAAGGTATTACACTGCTTAGCAGTGTTTCAATTACTTGTCTTGCATTATTTATTCTACAAGGGAATGCTTCTGGCCACCCTGAAAAAGTATTCGTTAACACCAACAAATATTGGTCTTGATAACTCAGAAAAAAATTATTTGTCAGTGCTGTCCCAGGTAACTTCCTTCCCAGTTGTACCAATTTGATTTCTACTTTCAATTTTAGGGTTATTCTTGAGATAGAGCTGACATTGTCACTAACTGAACTATGTTATACAGATTCCTGCCTTCAATTTGTTTGTCTAAGTATTTATACAAAGAGTTGCTTCCTCAAGGAGTTTTATTATGCTCATCCATAACAAGCTTCCAGAGTTGGTTATAGGGGATTATAATTAGCCCATCAGGTATCTGAACCTAATCTTTTTTGTTTTCCTCTCCTTTGAGATCTCCAATCAATTTTCTATCCTCCTTTGAATATCTAGGTTTAGATTTCTCAATTGTTAGTTTGCCATCAGGGATTAAGGGAATGAGTTTAGATTGTTCAGCTGCTCGTTTGGCTTCAAAACTGGCCAAATTATTGCCAATTTCCTGATCAGATTCAGCTTGTTGATGCCCTCAACAATACATAATAGCTACTTCCTCAGGTAGCTGAACAGCTTTCAGTAGTCATAGAATTTCTGTAGCATGTTTAATCTGTTTCTCCTGTGTGTTCAAAAGGTCCTCATTCTTTCCAGATGGCACACTGTGCATGGACCACACCAAATGCATATTTAGAATCAGTCCAAATATTTATCCTTTTGTCTTTAGCCAATTCCTGGGCCCATTCCAGAGGTTTCTTTCATATCTGGTTGGCTTGAATATACAGTTTTGCATAGTGGCCAAGCAGTTGGGTGTTAATAGTTCTGTTGGTTGTTCTGCAAAAGGATGCTCGATTGACAACATTAGTAAAAAGACATGAAGGAGATAACCAGGGGGCTTCTTTCTGTTCCAGGACTGCTGATACCACATGGGACACTAGCACAGTAATCCTTTGTCCCAAGGTGAATTTGTGAGCCTCTTAACTGCTGTCACAGCCCTTAGGCATCCAGGCCATTCTTTGCTCGCTTCATTCAGCTGTTTTGAAAAATACACCACTGCCCTCTTATAGGGTCCTAGTTTCTGAGTAAGGCCCACCAAAGCTATTCCCTGTTCTTCATGGGAATACAGCCAAAAGGATTTAGTCATATCCAGAAGTCAGAGCTGCAGCTCTCATTAGCTCTGCTTTTAAATTTCTAAAGCCTTCCTCTGATGAATCAGTCTATTTCAAAGAGAGAGGGGTTTCTTCTAACAGTTCATCTAGGGGTCTTACCTGAACACCATAATCATGCATCCAAAGTCTGCATCATTCATTCACTCCCAGGAACATATGGAGCTCCTTGTTGGTTGACAGTCATGGAGTTTGACAAATGGCTTCTTTTTTACCTGGAAGGCCCAGATTGCTGCTCAGGTCAGGCTCGGTATTGGTCAGCAGGTGGTGAGCAATTGTATTGTGCATCACTTGTGTTTATTGTTTTCCTTTTCCCTTTTAGTTTTATATTATTTCCCCTTGTTATTTCCCTTATCATTATTATTACTGGTGATGGTAGCAGTAGTAGTTTTGTATGGTACCTTAGTTACTCGACTGTTCTTATCTCAACCCACGGGGTTTACATTCTTTCGATTCTCCACACCATCCCTCAGGGAGTGGGGGTGGGAAAAAGGGAGGAGAGTGAGCAAGTGGCTTCAGGGTTCTGAGTTCCCAGCTGGACTTAAACCACAACAGACCCTCACTACAAGAGAGACATTGAGGTGCTGGAGCAGGTCCAGAGAAGGGCAATAAAGCTGGTGAAGGATCTGAAACACAAGTCTGATGAGTAACATCTGAGGAAACTGGGGACGTTTAGTCTGGAGAAGACTCAGGGGGGACCTTGTCCCTCTCTACAACTACCTGAAAGGAGGCTGTAGTGAAGTGGGCATAGGTCTCTCCTCCCAAGTAACAAATGATAGGACAAGAGCTAATGGCGTCAAGCTGTGCCAGGGGTGGTTTAGACTGGATATTAGGAAAAATTTCTTCACCAAAAGGGTGATCAGGCATTGGAACAGGCTGCCCAGGACAGCGGTGGAATCACTATCCCTGGAAGTGTTAAAAAACTGTGTAGATGAGGCCCTCAGTGGCATGGTTTAGTGGTGGTCTTGGATGATCTTAAAAGGTCTTTCCCAACCTAGTTTATTCTATGATTCTCTAATAAAAAGTACAGAGTAAACCAAAGCCAAGTGGCCAGCCAGAAGAGATGTTTTTTTCCCTTCACACCATCACAGGAAACAGCATGAATACAGAAACAGTAAGAGGAGCAACAACTGCTTGCTGTCATTAAACTTTAGTGATTTAAGAGGAAAAACTCCACAAACTCTGACAATGTTCCCAAAACTCTTCTGGAAGCCAGTCTACTTATTTAACTAATAATAGAAAACCATCTAAAAATAAAAACCATTACTGATACTGCAGTTCATTTGTATGAGCTGTAGGCTTTACCCAGAATAAATACTGCTGGGAGACAAATCAGTAAATTCTCCCTTGCCCCTTCCCTGCCCCCCTCCCCCCCTTTTTGTAAAGGACAGCTATGCCTGCTGCAATTTTGTTTCTTGGGAACAAGCATGACTTTTTTTTTTTTTTTTTTTTTTTGGCCTTTATCAACCATTTTGATAAGGAAAAATAATTATTTTTGTCTCAGTGAGGAAAACGGTAGCTGAAACAGCTAAGATGCACACGTCAACACGTCAGATTAAAATAGAGGTTACCTTCTCTCTTAAGTTTGCCAGCCTTTTTTCTTTTTCTCATTTTTCCTCTTCTTCAGCTTGTTTTTGTAGAATCCTTAGCTCCAGTTTCTGTAGATCCTGAAACATACAACAAATAGAAAACCAAACATTTCTTTGGAAGTAAAACAAGTTGCATGAAATATGTATATAGCCTTTTCAGTTATATTTTCTTGTTGTCTTGAAATTATTTTGTCACAGTACAGAACGAAGTTGCACTGTGTAGCTACCTGGTACAGCTTGTCCTGCACAAACAAATTATAGTTATGTAGTTCTGAAAAAAGAAATTGTAGTTGTTTAATCTCTGCAAAAATGAACTCCAGTGGGGATGGTGACAATGCTATCAGTTCTCCAATAATCAGATTCACATTGAAATGAGATCTATCATGCCCTTACAGCTACTGAAACCTTCAGGATACTCAAAGAAGTCTTTTGAGTTCATATCTACATACAATAACCAGGTCTTCTGACATTTTCTATAGCCTGGAGAGCAACACAGCCCAAGCTGGTTTTCCCAAACATTTTCACAGTGAAGTAAATAAAACCATTTCTTTATGCAGAAAGGAATGCGGACTTGAATAATCCTGTAGAATTTAAAATAGTGAGGAAAAGGAACACTTTTGTATAAAATAAAGTTTCATACTGCTTCTTGTATACAACAGATGCTATTCTTCATAGTGAATCACAGATTTAAATAAATGAAACTTGTGTTTAACAGATTATACTGTATGAGGAAGTAGAAGAATTTAAAACATGCATAATGGGGATGTAATTTTGCACACTCTGTTGAAAATTAATTTCTTCTGCAGCAATTCTCTTCCTTTCCTCTTTTCCCACCTCCTTTCTCTTCTCCTTTTCAAACTTCAGTTCCTCCTTATATTTCTTCAGCAAGGTATACTTTTCCAACACTAACTTCATGTGGCATTGGCATTCTTTTTGTTACTTCTTCTCCTTCTTTTATTCTAGTTTTAGTTGTGAAGCTTGTTCCATTACCAATGCTACTGCTTTCTGCTCCTTCCATGCTTCTATTGCTGCTTGTCTTTTTCTTTCTTCTGCTGCTTTTTGCCTCTGAGCTTCTTCATGCTTTTGTGATTCTTCCTTAAGCATTCTTTCTGATTTCTTTTTCTCCTTCAAGTTTCCTTGGCTTTTCTTGCTGCTGCTTTTCTTTCCAACTCTTAATTGACTGTGGGAGAACAATGGGGGAGAAGGAAGGGGAGAGGGTAAGATTTTCATGAAAACTATACACATTCCTGTTGGTCTGATGAAAACATGCTCCAAGGATACAACTTAGCATACAGATAGGAATTAAAAGTCTACTAGTGATAAAACCTACGACAAAGAAGCAACTGTATCTGCTTTCTCACTTTTTGAATTTATTCTAGATCACACAGGGGTATTTAACATATTCCTGCTAAAATCATTTAAATTATGGCATTCATCTTTGGGTAGTTATGAATGTTGGTTTATTATGCTTTTTTTAAGCAAACATATTTTTTCTCCCTTGAAATTAACAAATCCACATCCTATTTTATAACTCCATTTTTCTGTCAGTGTATTGTTTATTACTCAGGTGGGTAGCTTGAAAGAATTGTAGCTCTCTATGTCAGAAGAATTCTAATTCTCTGTGTCAGTATGGCATAGGTATATTGCCTATACAGGGGGACAGACATTCTTTAGGATGGATGTAACAAGAACTGCAGTTTCAGATAGGATCACTTACTGCTTCGGGACTGGCACTTAACTTGCTGGTCCACTGCCATAACAGTATTTGTCTGTTCCTCTTTAAAAGCATTGATTCATTTTCAACTTCTTCCATCATCTCTTTGAGCTTGTCAACAACTAAAAAGGAAAAGAGACTATTATTTAAGTATTTACCAGTAATTCAGCACTATGCAGAAATGCAGGCGCTTGCAGAGGCTTCTTTGACATTTACTTCAGTGTACAAAAAAAGCATGCATTTTCATCTCAAATAGCCTTAAAAGACTCTCATTTATTCAAAAGATGTGATTTCACAGTGATTGAGGTCACTGGATGCAAAGCCAGAATAAATGCTTACTTCCTTTAAATAAGTCTCATTCTGAGTAAACTTCAACTGATTTAACAGAATAGGACTGCCTTATTTAAAAGTTTCCACTTTTGTTTATTTTTATAACAATGCAGTTAAGTGACTGCTCATATCTTTGGTTTACGCCAGGATGCAGCAATCCTATTTAACCTCCCTCTACAAAGCTGACAAAGACCCATCAAAGTAAGACTTTATCCTGTAATGTCAGCATACTGTAGTCTCAATATGGAGAAAAACAGCAAGACAGCTGCCTAGAGAAGATCTATGGTAGAAATGGTAGAAAAAAAAAAGTTTTAGAATCTGTTTTAAACCAGCACAATATTTCTATGAACACATATTGAACACACAGTTTAAAACCTGGCTTAAAAAATAATAATCAACTAAATCAGTACTGTTATGTCATCTGAAACTCCCTAGTTCAGCTTTCATGCCGTGTTAGTTCTTGGCATCTTTGCTAACAGCTGGAGAAGATAATGCATTTTTTATAGAATAGACACTCCACAGATGAAATGAGATGCATTTTCTCCAACATCACAAAGCCCTCAGCTAACAGAACTTCAACCTGAGTTCTACATGAAGTAGTAATCATAGGGGAATGTGCCTATTTCAAAAAGGTTTCAGAACATCCAAACTGAATAAATTCTTTCAGCATTTCCCACAGAATATTCCAACTAATACTTCAATCAATGTGGATGGCTAGAAATTAGTTTTCTGTACACCCTTGCTCTGTGACATTTTACCAAATGAAAGGGAGCTGTATCTAAACAGTAGTAGAATACCAACTTTACGTAAGGCAAAGTTAGACATAGAAAATACCTGGCTTTCAACAGGCTGAGGAAGCAAACCCACACCAATTCTGAGAGAGAGGAAGTTTCTCTGTTTCCATGCAGAAATACATTTCTGCATTCTTCCCTTCCAAGACTCCTGGAAAAGCAGATAGACTGCAGGAGTATACCAAGTCTGCAGGAGAATCACAAGCAACTATGCAAGGAACCTGTCTGTAGATGGAAATGTTTTTAAATCTGTCATAATGATTTACATACAGGTGCAGGTTTCATGTATTTTAATTGATGCTGAAGTCTCTTTTTATTTTTTATTTTTATTTTTATTTGAAGTCTTATTTTTGACAGCTGCTGCAGGATTTTAGCTTCTGTAAAACAAAATAAGGTGTCCACAGTTCTAACAATTTCTGCATTGAAGAACAGGAGCAATAAAGTGTTCAAGATAAACTGGGGATTTCATCTAAGCAGGGTCACAAAGTCTGTTTGATCCTAACAAACTGCATCATACTAAGCATTTTAGCATGATTGTAACTGCATGTAGCTAACTGCATGAGCCATGTAGCTCCCCACACTGTATCAACAGACTTATAAATCAGTAGCTCCCTGTTTTTGAAGGGGCCAACAGGATAGTCGTATTTAGGTTAAAACAGTTTGCTCTCCCCACCCCCCCAAACCTTTTATGACATAAGTGGAATTTGGTGAATGTTGCCTATGCAGATGATACCTCCTCTAAAATTCTGAGGGAGACCTAGGCCTCAAACCACTCAGCATTGAAAACGAACTTGGAAAGTGTATGTGAATGCACTGCTTCAACAAGATTTGTTTGTTTGCTGTGTTAACTAAGTTACAATGTTTTCATGTACTCCAGGCATGCAGGTACTTACTTGCTTTGTTACCACTTGGCTCCTCCTGTGTTCCTAAATACAGTACTGATGAGGATGAAGCTCTGGATACATCTTAGGTACTGAGGAACTGTATCTTCTATCCTGAAAGATTTGGTTTAAGGAAAGGATAACAGAGTTCAAGACCTAATGTAACAAAATGTAGCTAAAACATGACTTTACTAGTACCTGTTGAGACCGTGGACAGCATATAGCACACAGATGATATTGAGAGACCTGAACATAGTGAATAGGAAGTTTGGGAGTTCTAGTACACACCCTAAAAGCTCGTACTCATTCCTTCATATTGGACATATAGCGTGATAGTCCTTCATATGTCACAACAGTATCTCCATCCATATTTCCATGTTCCCTTCTTACCCGTGGAGTTTTCTGATTTTTTTTAAACTTAGTTATTCCTTGGAAATACGTAAATTTCTTAAGAATTGCAAGACATAAAGGATATGTTAAGTTTATTTAAAAGACGCACATTGAAACATACACATTTGTAAGGTGAGGATATTTTTAGCTATCTCTATGTGTCCTTTCTTCAACTTGTTTTGTTTTGATCTACCACATCAACAGGCATAGCATGATTTATTTACTTCTGAAGGTATCTAGGTACTGTGAATAGGGAAGCCTTTTTTCCTGAAGTATTTAATTAGTCCCTAAGCAGAATAGATACTGTAGGACAGATCGTGTACCATCTCACAGCACTATTCAGAATATTAATTAGCCACAGATATGAAAAAATGCAAAAAAAACTGTTTAAAAGTATATTTAAAGGCAAAAATCAGTTTGTGGAAACTTACATTGGGGCAAGTATATATTGTACCTTAGCTACACTATATTAGATTTTACAATACACACACAAAATTGATTCCAAGTTTCTAAAACAGTAACTTCCCACCAAAGTTGTGAACAGTACCTGCTACGCTCAGGATTAAAATAGTTACTAACACAGAATGCCCAAAATGTTTATGCATTTGAATTTTGCAAGTCACCTGTGGAAATCTTTATAAGCTGTACACATGGTGAAATACCATGCTTTTATCAGCATCCACCTTCCACCTGAAGTAACCTCTCTGTACTACTGATTTTTAAACCATTTAAATAAAAACAGTAACATTAAAAAAAAAAAAAAAAGGCAAACAAAAACCCCAAAATCCCACTTACTTTCAGTTTTCCTACTGACAGTCAAGCTGTGTTCCAGTTCCTCTAGTATGCTGTCTTCTATCCTGAAATCACTCTTCATTTTGTAAATATATCCATTTTTGTCTTTATCTAGATTTGGAAGCCTGGAAAAAAAGGTTGTTGCACTGAGTAAGAAATGAAGACTTAACAAAGCCCCAGGATTATCCAAGGTCATTATCCAGCTGAGGTTGTATCAACAGACTCTTAGATTTTACACAAATCACTGTTTTGTTCCTAGAGGTGTTTTCAAGGAAAATCTTTCTGCTATTGTACTCACCAAAGTAACCCAAGAACTTGAGCAAAAGAAAGATGCTAACAAGGAAATTATTTTGTTAACAGGCAAGAGGTTCACACACTGAAATGGCCTGAAATTTTACCGGTGGCTCACTATCAGGGAGTCTTATGAGAATTTTCATTGGAAAGTGCAGGAACAGAGGCAGGTTGTCTTAATGTGGCTGCACACATAGATGGAGGCCCAGCACACACAAAACATGTACATTCCCTCAGCCTCAACACTGGTAGTAGCACTACTGCAACTGAAGATTCAAATTCAAACTTGTTATCATTCAAGTAACTTCAGATATTAAATTACTTAATACAATGCTTAATAGAATTCTACAGTAAATGACAATGCTTTGTGTATAGTATACACAAGCTTTTCTTGCTTTCAGAAGCTTTAGAGAAAACTCAACAGGTGCCACTCAGTACAGACATCTTTAAAACTTTAAACACTACCAAAAGCCCAACAAACTTGTCTCTCCTAGCAGCTTGGCTCTTTAACAGTCTACAGCTGCTATATGGTTAAAACCCTTATATAGTGTAGTTCATGGTCCACAGTTCAAATGCTTTGCTTTGCCAAGTACCCTATCTCCCCACACAGTGCACCAGAAAACTTCAGAGGCCAACTACAGAAAGCTAATGAGCCAAAATTAAATACCATGTCTTGTTTGAAGATGCTTGGGAATGTCTACATTACCCATCAGTCAATTTTTGAGCTATAACTCAGGATCCAGAATAAATGAGGAGCTGATGCAGGCAGCATAAAACAGTGCTCTGAAATTCAAGTGTCACTGTTCATTGAAGATTCACAACTACAAACCTCTCCTTCAGTTGGGTGGCTGTGTCAGCTCTTCCTCATAACGCTCATACATTCAAGAAGAAACCTTCTGTTTGTTTCAGTTGCCAGAATAGTTACGACAGCACTTATTCAAGATGTGAAGAAACAAATTTAAATGACTTCTGGGCCTGAGCTGTCTTGAAACTCCATTTTCCAAACCACTCGCCTACATATTTCAGGTGAAGTGTCTTCAGTCTTCTCTGAGGAATCTCTTGTAATGCTGCTGCAATTCCCTTTTCGTTGGTATTTCTTAAGGGCGTAAAGTAAGGGTAAAACCAGCTAAGTAGGAAAACTGAGAACTCAGTTACGTCACATCCTCTTTCTTTTTTGTGTCTAATGCAACAGGCTTTTTGGAGCTCATGAGCATATCCTGAACTACGGTAACAACCATGATAATCTGCCTGAGTTCCTCAAAAGAAAATTTTAGCCCAAAAGTTTAATTACCATAAACTCTTACCATGAACCTCGAGTTATATTACCTTCAGAACAGCATGAAAACAAACTGTACAGCTTGCTGAGTTTTTAGATTTTCTGCAGTTGTTAAGAAATCAAATTTCTGAGCTTGTTCGCTTTGATATTCCAGTTCTGCAATTGTTGACCAGTACCTGTCATTCTGTATGTAACAAAATAAAGTATTACTCAAAATCAGTGCTATTTAAATGTTTATTAGCTACTTTTACGCAGACAACAACACAGTGCAGAATAACAGCATTACCTTGGTTTTATACTGGTGCAATTCGACTAATTTTAAGTCACACAGGTATAAAACTAGGGTGATGAGTGACAGTGAGCTGATGACTGTATACAAAAAATGTATTCTCATGAATAAATGAAAAAAAAAGAAAAAAGAATGTGACATCAACTTGCTTTAACAGAAGCTGTTCACCACACTGCAACTGCCTTGCCTCTCCCAGCAGCCAGTCTCTGGCAAGTTGGAAGAAATACCTACCTGATTATAAATAAATATGTAATCTACACTAGGAAGATTGCCCACATTTCATCTTGTTCAACAAAAATACAAGCTTAAAATACGAAACCTGCTTAATAACCCTTGCAAATTGCCAACTCTGATTCACAGCAACCCTGAACAACCTTAAATGCTAGGAACACAGCTAATAAAACTGTTCGGGTTACAGGTTACATTTTGAGGCCAGCTACACAAATCCGCACTGCTTCCTACAGGTTTCTTTTTAAAGTTAATTACCTACAACTCGTACAAAGAATTCCTCAGCAGCCGACACCCAGTGGGCCTGAGGAAAGGAACTGCCTCCCTAGCAGGGGATCAGGGAAGTGTGGCAGGACTTTACCTGTTGCTGCTCAGCGGCCACAGCAGCGACCGTCGTTACAAGGGCACGCATGTTGAGCATGGCCCCAGCAGTGGCCCCAGTGGCACCCCCAGCCCGGCAGTGCTTAGGGGTGGACTGGCAGTTGTAGCCTTCTGGAACGCTGGGTTTCCACACCAGGAAGGTGGGTTTATGTGTGGGGTCTGCCAGCGTTGTCAGAACCTAACTATGAAGGTGTGTGTGTGGGATGACATGGATTGCCGCCGTCATGGAGGTGGCAGGTGACATTCAAAGTCTCTGCACCTCTTCACAGAGGTATCTGAGCACCCAGAGTTGTGTAGAGTTGCTGGGACCACAGCCTGAGCATCAGAAGCTGGTGTCCCAGCAGAGTGATGTGCTGAAGACAGGAATGCTGTTGCATGGAGATCCATCACATATATGGCAAAAAGTGGTGCTGGCTGTAGGGCAGTGCCGTGTGGCTTGATATTAAGAAGTACCATTGATACCTTGGAATAAAGGATTAGTATTGTGCCTGCCTGCTTAAGCAGTCAATGTGCTTGGTGAAGCAGAACTGTAGGAGTTAAAAGTTGCTAGAACTGTGAAGCAGAAGTGTAGGAATTACAGCTGCTAGGCAGAATTGTAGTAGATAAGATTCATAGCTTGTGTGATGAACATTTAAGACATTCTTGCTTAAATAGCATCCATAGAAAAAAAAAAAAAAGAAACAACCAAATTTACAAGCTTAACAAGTTTCTGCTTTAAGATACATAAAACTGGCTTGTACCAAACCTGAGGTTTGGATAGGAGACAAAACCCTATTCAGTTTGAGTGAAAGCAAGAGATTACTTGCAGCGATGAAAAGGAACTACAGGCCTTCATCCTCACGACCCCCTAACAACCACCACCAGGAGGCACTGCCCAAGTGCATCAATGGGACGAATGCCTGAAAACTAATTATAATACTAGTCAGGAATAGGTTTTGCATATGTATTAGATGTGAAGCAATCTCATGTTTATGTAATCACTATATGGAATATAAACAAACTGAGTGTCAAAGGAAAGGTACCTATGCTTTTGGAGGAGCGAGCCCCCATGTGCCTCAGCACTGAATAAAGAATACCTACTTTACAACTTTAATGAGTTGTGGAGTCTATCCGAGTATCACTGTGTGCACTTCTGGTGTCCCCAGCTGTCCTGGGTTCAGCAGTAGCAGTCAATTTGCTCCTTCTTAGTAGCTGGTGCAGTGTTGTGGTTTTGACTTTTAGCCCCGGATCAACGCTGATAACACTGATGTTTTTAGCTGTTGGTAACGTTTACTGTTACCAAGGACTTTGTGAGTCTCATGCTCTGCCAGGGAGGAGGGGAAGCTGGGAGGAAGCAGAGACAGGACACCTGACCCAAACTAGCTAAAGAGGTATTCCATACCACAGCACGTTATGCCCACTGTATAAACTGGGGGGAGTTACCAGGAAGGGCTAGATATCTGCTTGGGTCAGGCTGGGTATTGGTTGGTGGGTAGTGAGCAGTGTTATTCTCTTCCCTTGTTATTTCCCTTATCTGGTAGCAGTAGTGGTTTTGCGTTATACCTGATATTCTTATGTCAGCCTGTGGGAGCTGCATTCTTTTGATTCTCCTCCCCATCCCTCTGGGAGCTGGGGAGGAATGGGTGGGGGGGCAGAGCGAGCAAGCGGCTGCTTGTTTCTGAGTTAAAGCATGACACCAGGATAAGAAGGACAGGGAGCTGTTGGAGCAAGCCTAGAGCGGGAGCATAAGGACAATATGGGGCTGGAGCACCCTAGCATGTAAAAGATAGCATGTGAAAGTTGGGGCTGTTCAACCTGGAGAAGAGAAAGGTTCTTGGAGACCTCATAGCAGCCTTCCAGTATCTGAAGGGGGCCTATAAGGGTACCAGAGAAGGGCTCTCATCAGGGATTATAGCAACAGGACAAGGGCTGATGGGTGCAAAATTAAATGTGGAAGTTAGGGTTAGATACAAGGAAGAAGTTCTTTATTGTGAGGGTAGCGAGGCACTGGAATACACTGTCTAAAGAAGTGGGGTTAAATGCTCCATCCTTGGCAGCATACACAGGCAGGTTGGAAGGGCCTTGGAGCATCATGGTCTAGTTTGATAAGTCCCTGTGCATGGCAAGGGGCTTGGAACTAGATGATGTTACAGTCCTTTCCAGCCCAAACTATTCTGTGAATCTATGATTCTATGATTCTGTTTTCACTTCTGCTAGGATTTTATGTTTTGTATTGATTGCTTCCTTCAGGAAGATCAGAATATATCCTTACTGTCCTGAGAGGAAATAAGTAGTTTCACATTATTCAATACATTTTTGGGATTCTTAAGATCTTGTTTTTCACTCATCTATACTAATAGAAATTTTAACAAGTTACCGATTTCCATTTCTGCAGAATAGAAGTCTATTCAAGCAATGGCTTTGCTAGCTGAAGAGATTTTGCAAACCAGTGTTTTCTCAGCCACAGAACTCAAAAGCTTTCACAGATGCTAACCACATGGTATAAACTGAAGACATTTTTTTGCCTAATTGGTATTTTTAATGCACTTTCCTTGTATGTCTTCCCTCTTTATGATGTTGCACTTCGTATTTGCTGAATAGGAATTAGTAAGTGTCTGTCCCTGCCAGTGGAAGGGAGGTTTGAACTAATGATCTTTTAAGGTCTCTTCCAACCTTGAGTATTTTATAGTTCAATGATTGTCTTGTAATTCATTATTACATGCAAGAGAATAAGTGTGTCTAGAACTTGTTTGTATTTGGTATCCTTTGGTGACAGTCATTTCATGTTTTCTGTTATTAGGATTAGCAAACTGTTAACTGGTAAGGGATAGTGCCATAGCAAGCATGTGTTTTCAGCAAGTATTTTAACAAGGTGTCTCCAGTCATAGTGTAATTCAGATACTGTTCAGTAGCTCACCAATTTCTGGATTCAGTTATTGAGAATCCTGAGGGCTTTTCAAAGATAAGGCTGGTGTAGCTGCTGTGCTTGGAGCTGGAGTAGCTGTACTGTCTGCTGCTGTTGGAGTTTGAGTAGCTGCTGTACTTGTCGTTGGGGCTGGTGGAACTGCTAAGCTTGGAGTCGGAGTAGATGCATTATCTATTCTAGCCAGAGTCTGAGTAATAGCTGTACTTGTCACTAGGGTGTGTGGGAATGTCTCCCTCATAGGCTAACCAAACAAGGAGGGGAAAAAAATGTGTAATTGCTCTACACACCTATTATATACCTCCCAAAGTATAGAGGCAGTGACCAAACTGGGAGTGCAAGCCAGATCAGTTTCATTATCAACGAGTCTATTGTATTACAAGTCATTACCGTAAAGTACAGTGAAACAAGGACCTTAGCCCAAGCTCCCCAGCCAATCAACACTAACACAACAAATACTGGCCGTAAGTAAGGTACAACATGCTGAAACTGTCAGATCAAAAGCAACAACTTTGAGAGCCAATAAATCAGCATTGTGACGAGTGACAATTAAAAAAAAAATGCATATCACAAATGCTATTAGACATACTCTGGTCACATCTGTCATTATCTCAAAACTTTGTGTCCCACGCTGAGCGAAAAAAACAACTGTCATCGTTTAATCCCAGCCTCTCTCTCACTCCCCCCCTTCCTCGCCCTGCTTCCAGGGGGATGGGGAGGAGAAGTTCTTCTACATGTATGTCAGCACCAAAAGGAAGAGAAGGGAAAATGTAGGGCAGCTGAATGAGATTTGTGTCCTTGAAACATAAGACACAGAGGAGGTGGAATTACTGAAAGCCCTTTGCCTCAGTCTTTACCACAAAGGAGGGCTTTCAGGAGTCCCAGATCATGGAGGTAAGAGAAGAAGACTCCAGAAAGGTACACTTCCCCCTGATAGAGAATTGGGTTATGGATAGGCTTGACAGACCTAAAACTCATAAATCCATGGGTCATGATGGGATGTGTCCAAGGGCGCTGACGGAACTGGCAGATGTTGTTGCTCTGCCATTCTCAATCATCTTTGAAAATCATGGACAATGAGAGAGCTGCCTGATGCTTGGAGGAAGGTCAATGTTACTCCCATCTTCAAAAAGGGCTGGAAGGAGGCAATGGAATAGCCAAGTATTCACTCCTGATTTATAGCTGTGTAAATGATATCTGAATCTGATATTTTAATAATTCATCCTCTTCCTTTCTTCCTCCAAATCTTTACTTTTTTTTTTTTTTTTTTCCCATTCTGAAGAATTTCTGCATGTATTTTCACATCACCTTCTATTCTTGGCTCTTCTGTAATTCTCTCCTTGTTCATCACCCATTCCTGTTATTAAAAATATAAAAATTAAA